TCCCTCCCTATTGATTTCTGGACCTGTGGGGACCCTCTTCCCAGCTGCATACTGGATCAGGACTGTGCCTTGGTTTGGTTCGTGGCCGGACTCAGTACATCAAGTCCAACCTAGCACTTAACTCCGGAACCAGAGTGTGTTCCCAAAGCCAGTGCACAGGGTCAGACTCAGCACACAACGTAGTAGCCTGTGCACTGGATTGGGCCTTGCTGCATGGCTCCAGCACCATGTTTTCACTTTAAAGCAGGGGTTATCAACCAGGGGTACATGTACCCCCAGGGGTACTGAGAAGGCCCTGGGGGGTACATGTAGGCAGGTACATGTACCCCCAGGGCTGCCACCCACAACCCTACACTGCTGCATTTTGGTTCAGAAGAGTCCTGCTTAAGACATCAAATGCTGCCACCCGTAACCCTGCGCTGCTGCCTCCCAGGAGCAGGGCCAGGGTGGGGTAAAGGCAGTGGTGCCCCTCCACAGGCTGCACAGGCTTCAGCCATGTGCCACCTCCTTCCCCCCCACCTGTCTGGCTGCCTGCCCCCGCTTGCTCTGCGCCTGGCTGCCGGGGATATGTTTATTAAACAAAGTTGAAAACCTCTGCTTTTAAAGAGTTCTTTAAAACATGCTGGATTAGGCCCTGCTGTGCTGTGACCTCAGCCCTGGAGGTTTCAGACCTCCGGTACTTACTTGAACTCCATGGTAAGGTTCCCCCTCCTTGAGGCTTTCCAAAAATATAGGGGGTATGTTTATATGCAAGAAAATATGGTACATTAGTTCTTCATTTCTAAGGTAAGTAATGTGAACTTCACACTGACAACTGGATTGGCAGACTTTCTGTACCTTTTTTACCGGCATCCAGTTATAGAATTAATTGGTCTGAACTTCTGTTTTTGTATTGCTGCCAGAGCTAAGGGCCAATCTTTTCATTCAGCCACTGTATCCTTAGCTCAGTGGGAAGAGGGATTCCTTTATAAACCTATTTCTATGTTTGGGATAGGATCCAAATTCCATTGAACTTCATGGCAAGACTCTAACTGATTTCAGCAGATTTGGATCAAGCTCTTTACTCTTTGGATACCCTGAAGTCTAAACTATTCTTTATGTAGATTACCAGCTCATGGTGTAAGAGTGGGATGACTTGGAATAAACTATATTTGTATGCAACTTCAGAAAGGAGGATTGATCTTTCTGGACAGGTTTAGTAGACTTGGTGACAGTCTGTGGCACAGAGGAACTGACACTCAGGCCAGGTTGGTTTTCCTCTACCTTTCTATAGCCTCCATTTGCGAATTATTTGGAACAAAAGTTAACACATGTCAGTGCAGTGGGGCCCTCGTCTCTGGTACTTGTGTGCTCTGTGGGGAACACAAACTTGTTGAAGAGAAGCACAGTTCTGTGTGTACTTGTAGGCTGATCTCCAAGGATAGCAGTGTGGTTTGTTTGTTTTTGTTTGTTTGTTTTTGTTTCAAATTCTTTTATTTAGTACTTCTACTTTCTGCCACTAATGACTTGAGAGCACCATGAGCAAGTAACACTTGGTTTTAAATTGAATTTGTATTCGAGTCATCGAAACGCTCTCTCTAAGTTAAAGCTTTATCATCTTATCTGAAATGTTCCTGGTTATAGTGACATCAGCTCTTGATTACTGAGAACATGAGAAGCTAGAATACAGCTTGTTTGCTGTATGAAACATTGCAGATCTAACAGGAGAACTGCCTACTGCTGTAAACTTTTCCACATTTTTGAACACTTAGAGAATAGAGACTGGCTGACTCTTATAGTTTGAAGTCTTTAAGAAATTTATGTGTAGGCATTAAAGGTTTATTAATTCTGAGGGACCAGATACAAAGCAGAAATCTAACTAGGTTTACAAACTGATAATTTATAGTCGATATGCAAAGGAATTTAACTGAGATGACAACCTTTTTTACTAAATCTAGAGCATTAGCTTATTTTTATGTGTGGGTCTTCACTGGTCTACAGTATCCTGGATTGGGACAGTTTGTTCCTGTCCAAACAACAAGCTTATGAGGTCTCTGAAAACTACATAGGTGTCTGACAGTTTTTTATAGATCAGGCTTGGGTAAACCTGGCATGTTCTAAACTCATCCTCCTGCTGGCTGACACCAGCCCGGACATCGTGGGGATTA